GTTTCTAGCCATACAGAGTCTATTACTTCCATCTGGAAAGTTACCAGAACATGTGCTAGGAGCAGTAGTGCAGACCAGAGTGTATATTTAGGAATCTCTTTCCTTAGTTCAAAACCGAATCCATGTAAGTCTATGGTGTGTGGAGTTGTAGAAAGCACCTCAGGAAATCATGAGCTGCAGCCACTGCTCTCCTGCACCCTCTGCAGCTGTGTTGTAGCTGGAGGAAAGACCTTCTGAAAGGTGCTCAAGGGTTCCCTTAACTCCGGCTGATTCAACCTGTCCTTTTGTAGATCTCATTTCCACAAGAAATGGGCTTGAGAGCTCTTTTCTGTGTTGGGCCTGTATTTCTTGAAGAGCAGCACTCCAGAAAAGGCAGAATATTCCTGCTGAGCTGTGAGCAGAGCCAGAGCTACCGCTCAGGTGTCTCCCAGCCTCTTCTCTTCACACCTTCCCATGTGGTGTTTTCTTTCTCATCAGCAGCACCACTGACTCGCGTTGAGACTGCGAGCCAAAGCAGACCCCACAGAGGTGGGTTTCGGGTTTACAGAGCTGCCCTTCAGAGCTGGAGCACCCCGTGGGTACGTGGCCCAGACCAGTTACTTCACTGGCAGGGTGAGCAAGTGGCATTTGATGGGGAACGAATGTGCTCAGGGCTGGCTACAGGGCAGACGGAGGAGCGGGCGCTCGGGCGCTTCTCCTTCTGCCCAGACTGAGCTAGGCAGGCCCTGCCTGCAGGTTACATCTGCACGAGTGGGAGGTGTGTGAGGAAGTGCAGCCTCATCACACCGTGCGCTGCGTAGCAGCACTCCTGCTATGGCCAAAGGGCACTGTGTGCACAGGGGTGAAGCACGTAACTAATCTGCTGCTTTTGAGGTGGAAACACAGTGAGGACACACATGTGGAACGCATGTCCCTCAATGACAAACGCGTATTAAAAGATTCCAGACTTCTGGAAATAAAACCTGGAAGCAATGCCTGGACTTAAATCTGGTAGGGTGCTTTTTTCAGACACAACTGCCCACCTGCGTATTTAGTCATGAGAAAATCTGTCTACTCTTTAAGAGCAGTAGTAAAAGAGTGATTACCTTCGACAAAACAAAAACCAAAGAACTAGACACTGCTCAGTGACATTTTATGCAGTGAGATTGTGAGTCCAAGGCATGGAAGCGCAACGTGGCTACCTCCGACCCGCCATGTCTTTAATAAGACACACTGACCCATGGAGTAGAATTTAAGAGTTTGAATCTCTTGTTCACTCTTGTGTGAGTCACTCTTGTTTCACCTAAGCAGGGACAATGATCTAGGTCTTCACAAAGTGACTCAAGCTGCTAAAAAGTTTCACATGAGAATGAAACATTACTGTTACTACAATGACTACAAAAATATACAATATTACACTATATTTTTCAGTATTTCTCAGTCTTGTTGGGGTATCATTAACTCATCTGTCTCTCCCATCAGTTATTTTCCATTCTATTTTTGCTGGTAGACACTCAATTATCCTTTTTTTTTTTTTTTTT